TGCACATACATTGCAACTTGCAGTTTGGGATGCGCTTCAATCTCCACAAATTGTCACGCTCATTGATAAGATCCGTACTATATGCAGAGCACTTCGATCACCGATTGCAAGTGAATATTTACGTGCCTTGCAAGAAAGCACTGCAAGAAAAAAAATTATTTATCTGAAGCAGAATGGGAAGTTGTCTCTGAAATTTCGGATACATTGCTTCCTGCTAAGATAGCTACGAAGTAATTACAATCTGAGCAACTCACTGCAGGAGACTTTCTTTCAACTTGGTTGAGATGCAAAGTAGAAACTGCAGCCAAAGCTAGTAGTCTTGCACAAAGCATTATAGCAGCTATGGAAAGACGTGAGGAACGTTTATTAGATTCAGATGCCATTTTGGCTGCCATTTATATGGATCCAAGATATCAAGTACTTCTAAGCGAAGAGCATCAGCGAAAAGCACAAAATCATCGATTATTGCTGTGGTATCGAATACAAGATGTGAAAAACAATCCTGAATCATTTAGCTGTAACGAATCTGAATATGATGTGGACGATGAAACAGATGCAATTGACATAGATGATCCACTAGAGAAGCTTCTCAGACAACAAGAAAAGAATAAGACTCGTCTCGCACAACCTAAACACTCTAAACATATTTCAATCGAACAATTGCTTTGCGATTTGTCTGATAGCTCTCGAATAAAATCAAATGAAAATGTATTGCAGTATTGGGAAGCAAAACACGACAGCCCCGAGCTTATTAAAGTGTAAACCTTCATTAAACTAAAAAAAATGGCTAGATTGTGTTCTGATCGTTGTTATCGTTCAATGAATACATATCAATATATATATCGTAAAAATCGAGAAAATTCGCTAAAAATCCACAACGATTTATATAATTCCGCAAACACAGTAGAGTAGTAAACTTTAAGCCTTAAGAAATTGATCACTCACAGTCAAAGGTGAGAAGAATAATCGATCAATTCGGAAACTGATCAATTCCTTAATGCCCGTTTCCAATGTAAATTAACTTTAACCTACTCTTCATCTTTTTCTATTTCTAAAAATTAAATTCGACATAAGAGTCGACAGGAGAAACTATGGAGATCTCTAGTTGAAGACGAATTTCTTTATGCTGAAATTACGGCTAAAATACTGGATGAATGGCCGTCGTCGTCGTCGTCGTCGTCGTCGTCGTCGTCGTCGTCG